CCCACACCTTCCCTTGTCTCATGGTGTAGGATTCTAGGGGGATAGGGTTGTCATGAATTTCAACATCAAGAAGCGCAACTTTCTTCTGGCCAGTGTATACATATATATTTAAATTATATACATAGTTGTTTATATAGTATGTACATATGTGGCGCCCCACCCAACCCCACTCAGGAAGGTCTGCTGAGACCCTGTTGCCACAGACCCTGTTCATCTTAGTTTTTGGGAAACAGTATGTAGCACTATGTAATGTATTCTAAAATTATCTAAAACAATTGTAAACCTATCTAAAACGACTCTAAACTCATCTAAACAACTCTAAAGCACTCTAAATTCATTCTAAACTTATCTAAATCACTCTAATCTTCTCCGAACACATATTCTTCACTAAAATCACTCGAAAACGCACTCTAGATAACTCTAGACTTTTAGAGCAGGTCCTCTACAATAGTCCTCACTCGAGTGTTTTCTTATGTTTGAGAGTCCACTCTAAATTTTTAGAGTGGCACTCTAAAAGTTTAGAGGAACAGGGTCACACCCCAGAATTAGCTTGTGAATAGCCATTTCCCCACACTTACCCTAGGAACTATCCCTGGGAGCTACCTCCTGAGAACTAGTTGGGACCTGGCGAAGCCGGTTGGGGCTACATACCCTGTCTGCTGGATTCCCTGACCCACCCCGAGTACATTTTGGAGTTTGAAATACTTTGCGCAACTCTCTCAGGGGAGAAGGTATAACACATTTATGCGCATCACAAAACGTGTTCAAGATTAGACCAGCAATGCTCGGACCATGCCTTTTTAGTGTAGAACATGTTTCTAACTAACAAACATTAAAGATTTAGTGGACACGCCAGACTACTTTCTGCCTTCTGCCACAAAATACCAACAAACACGCCCACCCGCTCATAAGCAGCCCGAAGCCAGTACAAATGAAATGGACACCAAGTGGAACCCCAAAAGATCCCAAAAGTATGACAGAACTAAGACCAGTGTATGGCGCACATTCAATTCTCGACAAATATATAATGGAAAACGTTTCAACAGACTTCACGACGGAGAGCACCGCCAGCATGTGCTTAGTTTGTGACTATGACTATGCTAAACAAACGAGGAGTGACATCAGTCAGAACTGATTTGGCGCAGCTGAGCGCACTCAACTAAGATTGAAGGCGGTGGGCACAGATTGGGAGTCTAGGTCACCGAAATTCTGAAGACCGACACTTGTCTAGCCCATATAGGGCCTATAAGGACCATTTCGCAATGAAGGTGGCATTGAACTTTATTTGGATCACGCTTATCCAATTGGTCTTCTTGCACTTTGGTTAGAGAATGGGCGCAATGGATCAAAGACTATCCACTTGGCCTCTCGTAGAATGAATGTGATCAGGCCAAGGCTGTATTTCCGGCTGAAAATTCATAATGGCAACCGACCAATGCCATTGCCATCAGTTTCCTTTCCTCAAACCAGCAAATGCAAGCCAGTTTGCACTGTGGATGCAAGCAAAAGTTCATACCATATACTCACAAGTCCCATTCCTGTCGAAGAATGAAGGGATTTAAATATCAAAATAGCAACGTTTTCAGGTCCATCTTTGGACCACCAGTCACCAGTCTAAGACAAATACCAATACCAATCAATAATCAATGTTTTCAGGTAAAGCTCGGGACCAAAGCATCCAAGTCCAATCTAATGAGGGCTCGCAAAAACCTCAGCAGAATACCAACATACCAATGTTTTTGAACTCTTTCTTCAAGACCTCATTGGTTTGAATTGCTTTTGCTACCTTTCAAGGTTTTGATTGTTTGGATTACAGTGGTTTGATCCAGAGATTGGCTTGAACACGTTGGTATGTTGTTATTTCATCATTTTTGCCAGGCTCCATTCAGCTGATTTGGATCTGTTTTTTGATACCTTTTCGAGGTTTTTGGGTGCTCTGGTTGATTGGGTTGGTTTCATGGGGTTGTCAAAGGCTCTGGAGATACTGCTTGTAAGCAACTGCCTGTCAAATAAAATGTAAAGTCTTTAGTTTGATGTTCATTGGTTTGATGTATAGTTAACCCATCATGACACAACTTAACTAGCAAACTGTTGTTCCTGCGCCTCACCTACTTAGCCAGCATTGTATGAGTTCAGAAGATTCCGTTGGACAACAGTTGATGGTCTTTGAAGACAACAAGCACAACACCAAATGCCCTTTACGAGCAACAACTCACATTCAACAAATGAGTGTCATACATGAAAAGATTTCTGTGTTGCAAAGCATATGACAATAGAGCTGCTCTTCTATAATGGGTATGTACAGTGTGCAGTCATAAACACTCTATTGTGGTCATTTAAGGAAGATGTAGTTTTTAGAGCAATGCTTTTGTTTTCATACGACATACCTTTTTTGGCCTGAGGCTTGTGAAGGACATGTCCTCTATAGCCATCCTATTCTGATCTTGGGGTGTTCGAGGGCCCATCTTTACTGCATCAACTTTGTTGACCCTTCGTATTCTATATATGATATATGTATTGCAACGTTTTATGTTGTTATTGGAAAGAATTCTAAGCTACTAGTGAGAACTGTTGCAAAGACCACATTTGCCAGCATAGTGTCATTATGATGAGCAATGCTGTAAACACAACCTGTGTCCGAGTGCTGGACAATGCCCAGTTTGCGCCTGAATTGCAGGTACCAAGACAAATTGTGTTCGGCCATTGTATGACCAAAAGTCTTGGGTAGCTGTGTGTAGACTACGTTCTCTTTGGCAGCAAGTTTCCTGGACAACTAAGGGAGGAAGAGCACAAGGAAATCCAAGTGCTTCAGCTGGCTTGGCCCTTGGCTGGTGGGGCAGGTTTTTGGAAGACTTCAGATTTTGCCCCACTGACCTGCAAATATTGTCTTGGGGGTATGAACATCTGAGGAGTTTGCTTGTTTCCATTAAAGAATGGCTTGCAAAGGCCAGTGGAAGGCAAACAGCAGAAACACCATCAAGCTTACTTTAGTCTGAGTTGGCACTTCCCAAAGAGTGGAGATCCTCAATGCAAAAACAACGGTGATGTTCAAGCTTTTGATCGTTATGGCATACATCCATACTGTTTGCAGGAAGTCAAGCCACGGATCCGAGATCATTTCGTTGAGATGCTTGGCAGAGAACTACCGGTGCGAAGAGTTGTTGTAATTTGTCAGGCCCTTCAATTAGATGTTTAATTAGATGTTTTAGATTAACAATCATTCTGCTGGTAGCCTTCTCAGACAAGTGTTTTTGTGATTCGTTCCCAAGCAGTGGGGATAGTCGATTTATCAGCGCGGCCGGCACGGCCGGTGGCCGGGGCGATCATTTTGTCACGAATACAGCAAGCTCAAATCAAGGACATCTGTAATGTTGTGTCTGCCAGACCCCTTCATTCTAGAGGTTTATTATCTTGAAAAGAAAAAGCAATCACAAAATGCAACCAGAAATACAAAAGCAATCACAAAAGCAAAAAAGGAGCAAAGAAAAAAAGCAATCGCAAAGGGCAGCCAGAAAAACACAAGCAATCATAAAAGCAACAACAAAGCAAACAAAATAGCAAGCAAAAATGGAACAACTCAGCCGGGCTTTCTGGCGCACTTGTTAAAGGGGTCAACTTTCTGGCGCGCTTTTGGGCGAGGGTCCACTTTCTGGTGCACTTTTGGGGAAGGGTCCACTTTCTGGTGCACTTTTGGTCGCTTGTTTTTCTCCTTTCTTCGGCGCCGGCTAAAAAGTCACACTGTTGGTCGCTTTTTTTGCGCCGACGAAAAGTGCGACTTCTGACCCGGCGCCCAAAAAACGACCAAAAGTGCGACATTTGACCCGGCGCCAGAAAAAAGCGACCAAAAGTGCGACACTTGACCCGCCCCCCAAACTACCCTCTTTGTTTTGCTTGTGTTTTTTTGGTTGCATTTCTTTGCTTGTTTTTGCTTTCTTGGTTGCTCTTTGTTTTGCTTGTGCTTTTTTGGCTTGCATGTTTTTGCTTGTTTTTCAAGTTTGATGATTTCTAGAATAAAGCCACCTCTGGTGGACACATCTGTAATGGTGACCCAAGCTTGTCAATCCACTTGCCAGCCCTGGACGAGTGAGCCATGTCAGGGGAAACAAATGGCAATCTTGCTCTCTTTGTTGCAGCAGGACTTCATATTATATGCCGTAAATACCACTCATACCGACATGTGTAGGGACGGGCGCTTACCGCCCTGTTGGAGGCGTGGATGGCTGAGAACCTTGACTTGCGCAGGCAATACCCGTCTGGAAGTCCATACTTTTTTCCCAGACGTCAGGGACATTTTATTATTATGATTTTTCTCGCACCGAACCTCAGTCACAGGATTCCAAAAAAACACCAAAAAATTATAGGACATGCAATTCCAATGTTGACGCAGGAAAAAGATAAGAGATATTGAAAAAACAAATCATTGCGAATTCCTAGAAGGATGGAATGGTTCAGCACAGGATTTCATAACAGTTTCATTGCCTCTCCTGTAACAATAGAGTAAGGTCTGACCCAGGAATTTAATATGTTGGTTGGTCTAGAGTCTAGCAAGGATGCTTTTTTTGGAATCCTGTGCCGACGCAAGGCGAACCTCCGAAGTCGATCAACCGATCAACATGGTTGTTTGCACAAGATTTCTAAAAGCACACACTCAGAGAGATCATGGACCGATTCCAACAGTAGACTCTGCCAGTCCTCGGCGCTAGCGCGGATCTAGCGCCAGCCTAGCGCAAAAATCTCCGTCAATTTCTTTATCCTGTCAGATTCTTATTTTTCCTGCTTGCTTGTATTCTTCTTGTTGTGCATTATTCTTCTTCTTGGCTTTTCTTTTTTCTTGTCTTGCTTCTTCTGTTTCCTGCTCTCTGCGTGTTTCTTCTTTTTCCTGCTTGCTATCCTGTTATGAAACCTAGCGCCAACCTAGCGCCAATCCTTGTCCTTCCTCAGGTCCCGCAAGATTGCAAGACAATGGTGGAGAAGATGGGGGCCTCTGTTCATACCGAATCTTTTACAGGCTGCAGCCAGAATTCCATAAATGACGGCGCTTGTTTTGGAAAATGCTGGAACTAAAAAATTAGGAGGTTAGAACACGCAGGCGACGGAAAGAGGGTCCTGCCCAACCGCAGCTTGCAGCTCTGTCTTCTCTTCCAACTTCGCATCCTACGCCAGGTGTAAAAAATAGATCCTTGACTTCTATTTCCAAACCAACCCGAGACTTCTAACGTCCCAAAGCACCAGAATGACCTATATTGAGTTCTTTCCATGAAGGACCAAAACTCTATATAGTTGAATCTTCCTCAACCAAGTAAACTTCCCTCATCGTAGCCAAACTCGTGAAGGACAAATATACAAGGACAGAACTTCTCCCACCTGCGAAACACCGGTCGATGGCTCCATCTTCGCCTGAGGATATGGAAAGAAATACAATGACCAGCGTCCCAAAACAGAATCGCAGATCTTCAGGAACCACGTTCGAGAAAAAAGTCTTTGACTCCTGATCTCCTGTATGCCCGTGGGTGCTCCAGGTGGGGCTGGCAACCTACTGAGATTGTGGATGTTTATGGAATCCTGCGGTCAACCTGTGCCGGAGAAACATCCAAGAACATAGTGTGATACCAGGCAGGTATTTTCTACTTTTTTCCTGGATCAACCCTCCCGAAAGAGACGTCTAAAGAAGCAGGCCTCGGCGCTTGAGCCGGTTGAAGCCTTGACCTGTGCCCGGAGAAGGTTAAAGAATGGGAGTGGATTTAGGGCCTCCAACCTACTAGCGATGGCCTCCACCTAGAAGCGTTCTTTTGAAAAATAACACAAAGGACACCCCTGAACCAGGACTTTAATATGCCAGGATGTTTGTTACACATGAGCTTCTTCAACCTCTGTACTAGGATTCCATAAAACAGGTTGACGCAGGATTCCATAAATGCTCAAAACCCTCAAGTTTTTTTTGGCTGCCAACCTTGGCACACAAAAAAATAAAGGAATGACCTCAGCCCGAAAGGATTTTATAAAATAAAATCCTGCGTCAAACCTTTAGCGTACCTTCGAACGGGTATCAGGCAGGGAAGGTGGAGATGAACGACGAGGCTGATCACTCCCGGGCTCAGCAAGCTTCTGCTCTCTGCCAGAACGGCCATGGAGCACTTCATGGCTTCATTGCGGCACTGCGTGTGGGCTCCGGGGCTGGAAGACCATGCGCGGAAGCCTTGTGTGTCCCCGCCCTGCCGGGAAAGCTGCGAGATGTAGCCAACACGTGGAAAGAGCTCGAAGGCCGAAGGCTTTGTCAAAACTTGCTATCTTTTTTGTATAGAGCACCTGTGGACACACTCTATCAGCCATGAGGTTGGCAGAACAGTGTGGCGAGGACACGGGTCTAGTGTATTGTTCCTGTTTTGGTGCTGTTTGTTCCCGTGGTGTTTCCCTCTCCCGTGTTTTCCGTTCCCGGGAGGTTCCCTAGGGTGTTTTCTGTTACCGCCTAGGGTGTTTTCTGTTACGGCGGGTGTTTTTTTCCCAGTAATCCCATGACGGTGTTTTTTGTTCCCCGCATTGGTTGGTGGCGGCTGGCAGTGTGGGTGTTGCTTTTGGGTGGGTTCGGCTTGTTGGTTGGTTGCTCACTTGGGCAGCGCCTCCTCCGCAATGCAAACCAAGTAGCTTGTTGGTTGGTTGCTCACTTGGGCAGCGCCTCCCCCGCAATGCAAACCAAGTATAGACAGCGAAACATATTGTAGCAGCAGCAGTAGCAGTAGTAGTTGGGTTGACTGGTTGCTTGGTTCGGCTTGTTGGTTGGTTGATCGCCTGGGTGGGCACTGTGGTTTAAAAAGCGGCAGGGGTGCGGGGAGGCGCAGCGCCTCCCCCGCAATGCAAACCCAGTATACACAGCGAAACAATAATGGCAGCTGTGGTAGTTGGGTTGACTGCTTGCTTGGTTCGGCTTGTTGGTTGGTTGCTTGCTTGGGTGGCACCAAGAGACAGCGGTTGGTTG